GTTCAATTCCTTTGGTAGACATAGAGCTATTCATGTAGGACTGGCTATACAATTTATGGGGCTCAGTGTAAACCGGAAATGCAGGGCCCTTTGTTAAAAATTATTAAGAATTAGGGGCCGGCCCGGTGGCTTAGCGGTTAAGTGCACGCGCTCCGCTGCTGGCGGCCCGGGTTCGGATCCCGGGCGTGCACCGACGCACCGCTTCTCCGGCCATGCTGAGGCCGTGTCCCACATACAGCAACTAGAAGGATGTGCAGCTATGACATACAACTATCCGCTGGGGCTTTGGGGGAAAAAATAAATAAATAAAATCTTAAAAAAAAAAAAAAATTATTAAGAATTTCAAGGTGATGACAACGGTTATTAAACCATGCTTGGGGATTGTCTAACGTGTAGGACCCTGTGTGATTGCACAGGACATACGCCCATGAGGCCAGCCCTGCATGCAGGTGATCTATTTCTTCTTGAATGAGCTTTGTAGTTTGTGTCTTTCAAGGAATCTAGCCACTTCATCTAAGTTCCCAAATTTATGGGCATAAAGTTGTTTATAATATTCCTTTACATCCTTTTAATATCTGTTGTGTCTGTAGAGACATTCCCTCTTTCATTCCTAATATTGCTAATTTTTGTCTCTCTCTCTCTTTTTTTTGCCTTCACTTCTGAAGGATATTTTTACTGGATTAGAATTCTGGGTTGACAGCACTTTAAAGATGTTCCTCCACCGTCTTGTGTCTTTCCTGGTTTCTGATGAGAAATTGGTGATAATTTGAATTGTCGTTCTCTACACGTAATGTGTCATTTTTCTCCAGCTTCAAAAATATTTTTTCCAATCTTCTTTTCTCTTTATTCTTCAGATTGGATAATTTTTACTAACTTATCTTCAAGTCATTGACTCTTTCTTTCATCCTCTACTTTTTGCTATGGAGCCTATCAATGGTTCTTTAAATTTCAAATATAGTATTTTTCAGTTCTAAAATTTCCATTTGGTCCTGTTTTTATAGTTTCTATTTTCTGCTGGGAACTTCCACTCTTTCATTCACTTCAAATGTGTTTACCTTTATCTTATGGAACATAATTGTAATAGCACTTTAAAGTCTCTGTGTGATAATTCTGACATCTGTATCAACTCAGGATTGGCATCTGTTGGTTTTCTTTCCCTTTGAGAATTGGTCAGATTTTCCTGGTTCCTTGAATGTTGAAATAATTTTAGATCATGTCCTGGGAATTTTAAATATTATGATGTATAGACTCCTGGTCCTGCTAAAATCCTCTGGAGAATTTTCAGTTTTTTTTTTTTTTTTTTTGGTGAGGAAGATTGTTGCTGAGCTAACGTCTGTGCCAATCTTTCTCTATTTTGTATGTGGAATGCCACCGCAGCATGGCTTGAAGAGTGGTGTGTTGGTCCGAGCCCGGGATCCAAACCTGTGAACCCCAGGCCACTAAAGTGGAGTGCGTGAACTTAACCACTACACCACTGGGCTGGCCCCCTCAGGTTTGTTTTGTTTTGTTTCAGTGGGAAATCAGCCTAGTTAGGTTCAGACTGAAAGTTCTCCTTCTGTGGACAATGGTTCCAGATTTAGTTCAGTTTTCCAAGCTTTTGCTTGCTGAGTTGTGTCTGTTCTGATTTGTGTCTCTTCTGTGTATATCCCACTTAGGAATTTGTCTGCAACTTGGGCAGTGGTTTAAATCCTACTTCAGTTCTCAAAGTCGTTGGCATGTTGCTTTGGGTCTCTCATGCACGTGCAGCTCAAGGGAGAGCCCAGGACCTGTGTGGATTTATACACAGAGGCATCCCCTTCTCCAGCTTTCCTCTCTCACTCCCCCCACCCCTTTATAGGCTCTAATTTCCTGGTTCCTCCAGCCAGAGAGATCAAATTTCTCTTGGAGTTTTTGCTACCCATATCATTGCTGCTGCACAGCTCCATGCCTGGGACCTGCTTTTAGGGCAATGGCATGAGAGAAAAGAGAAACATGAGGATTCTCCCTCTATATTTTCTGGCCCACAGGGGCCCCTTTTCTGGCTTCCTCTGGTTAGAAAGATGGGCTTTCTTTTGGAGTTTTAGCCGGTTATGCTAATACTTCACAGCTCCACAGCTGCAGCCGTCCCTCAGCTCAAAGCCATGTGAGCAGAGGGAAAAAAAGACATGGGGCACTTCTTCATGCTTTGTCTTCTTGCCACAATCTACCTGCTTTTGTTTACTTTTCAGAGTCCTCCAATCGTTGCTTTTAGATTTTATCCAGAGTTTTTAGTTGTAATCAGTGGGAGAGACAGGCTTTAATAGGCTTACTCCATCATGGATGGAACTGGAAGTCAACTTGGTTTTAACAGGACCACCTTGGCTGTTTATGAGAGGCTACTGCACTAGTCCAGGCAGGAGTGACGGCAGTCTGGCCTCAGTGGCAACCATGGAGGTGGTGAGAAGCAGTTGGATTCTGGATATTATCCGAAGGCTAAGCAGACAAGATTTGCTGATGAATTGAATATGGGGATGTGAGAGAAAGAGAGGGGTTAAAGATGACTCCAAGGGTTTTTTTGGCTTAGGCAACTGAATGGAGTTGCCATTAATGTGGAGGGAGCAGCATGGAGGGGGAAGAAGGAAGATGAGTTTGTTTTGGGACATGTTTAGTCTAAGATGTCCATTAGATACACACATGGAGACGTCTATGAGCAAGCTGTATACACCAGCTCGTAGCTGGTGGACGGTCTGGGCTGGAGGTGTAAACTCAGGCGTCACTGGAATAGGGACGGCATCTAAGGGCACAGGACTAGCTGGGAGAGAACACTTAGAGGGGAGGACATAGAGAGAGGAGGAGAAACCTGATGACTGGAGCCTGGGGAGTCCCAGCTTTGGCTTGTCTGGCCCGAGAGGTTGGGAGCAATGCCATCCAAGGGGTATGTGTCAGTCAGGGTCCCATCAGGGGACAGACCACACAGTCACTTGAACAGGGAAAGTTTAATATAGACAATATTGGGGGCTGGAGTCATGAGGGACTGGCTAGTGAGAAGTACAGAGAACTCTAGAGTATAGAAATGAAGAGGAACAGCCACTACCCCTAGGGCTGGGATCAAGGTCCCGAGGAAAAGCCGCAGCTGAGGTCCAGACCTCCTTGGAGAGGGCACAGCCACTGCTCACTGGATTCCAGAGATGTCACTGTGGTGCCACACCAAAGGAACTTGCTGGAAGTCTTCCATCCAGAACTGACCAGAAGTCCACTCTCTAGGGTGCTGGGGAAAGCTTTTCACCAGGACGCGTCTTGCTGGAAGCGCTCCACTACGAAACTGCCCAAGAGGGGTGCTGGGGAAGCTACCAGCTGCTGGGTGCTGCTGCTGCCGTGCACGGCAGGGGCCTGATACCACAGAAGCCACCTGAGCTGCAGGAATCAGGCACAGAGAAACTGCAGAGCAAGCACTCTGAAGGAGAGTCCCCTACGCCCACAAGCTCACTCCAATGTCTATGGAAATGCCAACTGACAAGGCTTCACGTCGTGCCAACAGGCAAAAGAAAATATGTACAGGGATCAGATCCATTTTCACAGAGTAGGCAATAAGGGTGAATTTGGAGCTAAGGCAATAAATTGATAACTGGCACAGGTAGATGTGGGTCTGGCTGAGGAGAGGCACCAAGGCCAGATGGGGGCAGCCTTGATGTGGCTGCCACCCGGGGGTGTGTGTGACTTCACACACAGGAGGTGAGCTGGGAAGTCAGGAGCCTCTGGAAGCAGGAGGGCAGGTGGCTGGTGAGTCCAGGGTCGGGCAGGCCTTAGGCTGTGAGCAGAGCAACCTGTGCGTTCTCAGGTTGCTAGCTGAGGTCTGGGCAAGGGAGAATCTATAAAGATGGAAGATGCGCTTCCTGCTTTCTAGGAAGGAGGACTCTCAAGGTGAGACAGAGCAGCGAACACTCTCTGCTGTGAGATGTGTGCCCTAGGGGGCTCTGCCCAGGGAGCTGGCCGTGACTGCACCTGCCTGACTCCTGCCCCGCCTGTACTGTTTCTAGCACTCTGTGCTGTAGCCGTCCTTGACTCCAGGCAGGTCCCCACACTGGGCACGCTCTCTCTGGCCTCTTGGTTTCTGCACACGCTGTTGCCTCTGCTTGAGATACTTCCTTTTTCTTAGTGTGGCTAATTCATCACTCTTCACATCTCTGCGGTGACATCACATCCTCCAGGAAGCTTTTAATGATGCCCACGTCTGGGTTGGGCCTCCCCTCTGTGCACAGTTGCATTGATTCTACTCTTAACACAGCACTTAGCATATCAAGTCATAATTGCTTGTTTACCTGCCCTTCCATCGGGCTGGACTCTAAGCTCTTTGAGGGCAAGGACCCAGTCTTGCTCACTGCTGTTTCCCAGCGTTGTGCCTGGCTACTGTAGTGAGCACTTATCAAGTGTTTGTTGGATGAACAAATAAAGGATGAGAGGCTGAAAGTGGGGTGCATAGAGGGGGGCGGCAGAGGGCGGAAGTTCATGGGCAGATCACCCAGGGCTTGTATGCCATAGTAAGAAGTTTGGGCTATTTCTGGAAGGCAATGGGGAGCCACTGAGGTCTCTAGCAGAGGAGAGCCATGATTAGTCCTCCATGCGAGAAAGGCCTCTCTAGCAGCGTCATGGTGAATGAGTTAGATGGCGACAAGAGTGGGGACAGAAAGATGAGGAGGTCCCTGCAATGATCCCAGTGGAAGTGGGGGTGAGGTGGGACCTGGGGAACGGGTGGAAGGGTTCGCCTTGGTCAGGAGGAGGGTACCTTTGGAGTGGAGGGCAATGTCTGGAGAGGAGTAGGCTGCTTGGCCCTTGTTTTCAGTCTCTGCCACATGTCTCCTTTCCCTTGCTGAACTGTGAGCCCCTCCACAGGGCCCTGAGTCCTCTTTCCTCAGTGCCTCCCCTGTGCCCAGGACACTTGCCTCTGCCCCTCACAAGTCCCCAGTGGATGGTCTGGTGGAGTTTACGAGGCAATCTCTCCCACCCGCAGTGTGATCCAGATGGAGAGGCCAGAGTTCTCATGATGTTAGCTTGGCAAGTTTATTGAATACCCAGGAACACAAAGAGCAGTACAAACAGGCACCCCACCTACCCCAAGCCTTCCTGGAATGTGCAGACAGAAACCCTCCTGTAGCAGACAGGCTGGGCCTCCCCCACACACAACAGGGGCAGGGGAGCGGGAGTGCTGCAGAGCCCACCTCTCCACCTGCGTGCCACCCGCCTCGTGGACTCACATCCAGAGCTAAGCCAACAACCCAGGAAGCGAAGCAGCCAGGACGTACGCCACTCGGAGAAGAACCATCTTGGGGGACTTAGGGATCCCTTGGGCTACCAAGGACTGTGGATCCTTCTGGGTCAGGAAGAGAAGGAAAGAACCTTCTCCTGCCAGGGAAAGGAAGAGGAAGGAAGCAAAGGATGGTGGGCGAAGGGCGCCTGAAGTGTGGACAGTCAACTCTACATTCTCCAAATTAATCCAAAGCCATGGGTGGTGGTGGTGCCCAAATCTTCTTTTTGGCTTTGAACTGTTCCTTTTCTCCCTGGCGCCCTGATTTTTGTAATTGTGTTGAATCTGCATTTCTTGAGGCTGTTAGCTGGATGGTTAGGAGTGATCCAAAGGAAGCAAATTGGGAGTCAGGGAGAAGCCAATCTGGCTGGGGCTGCGGATGGAGCGCTTAGGTGGTGAAAAAAATCCCCCCAGAGGACACGGGCCAGGCAGAGCAGCCCCAGGAGTGAGGGAAGGAGAGCTGAGTGTCGGCTTCCTGGCAGGAGAAGGGTAGCTGGAGACCCCTTGGGCCCAGAGTCCAGGCGCCTCCGGGACAGAAGCAGGAGACATTAAGCTGGTTCTTCTCTGGGCGGTTGCTGGCTAGGGCTTGCGTCTCAGTACTTGGTTCGGCGGGTGGTGGTGGACACGAAGCGGAGGCTGGAGCTGCGGCCCCCACTGCAGCTGCTGAAGCCCTCGGTGGGCAGCGGGCAGGGGACGCTGGGGATGCAGGCCTCGCCCACGAGCACCGAGCCCCCCCGGGAGCCAGCGCACAGCGGGTCCCCGCCCGCCACGACGACCCCGCCCAGGCTCGAGCCGCAGGCGCCGCTGGGCCGGATGCTGCTGCTGCCCGAGAAGGTGACCCCACTGCGGGAGAGGGTGGAGCTGGTGACCAGGCTCTCAGGTCCGCACACCACGCCGCCCCGGGAGCTGCTCACAGCTGCGGGAGGAAGAAACCGTCAGCGAGGCTGCCGTGTCCCCCATGGACCCCGCTGTGGGGGAGGGGAGGCAGGACTGATGGCAGCAGGGGAAGTGACCTGGGACAAAGTGGTCCCTATTGTCTACATAGTCAATACCCACTTTCTCTTCTCTTGTCTGGGTCATTCAAAGACTGTGCCTCCACTAAAGTCAAGCACTCAGATTAAAATGGGAGAATTCAGCCAATTCCCCCTGTGTTTGCGTATAGCCATCAGCTGACTGTCATTTCTATAGGGCCAAAGTCAGGCTGGGTTGTGTGAGGGAGGAGTGAGCTAGACTTTCCAGACAACTGGAGCAGTAGCCTCGGTAAAGCCATGGGCTTCCCTCCCAATTACATCAAGTCCCTTGGAGTTCCCCACATTGGCCCTCCAACAAGAGTTCTTGTCAGTTCCACTCCGATCCACTGATGGCTCTGATCTGTAGCCCTCTGGTCGGCACTGGGCACACCTCTATGTCCCGGGACCCTAATCCCACTAAACTTTGCTTAGACCTGCCTTTGCCCGAGGAGGGAACCCCTCTTCTTCCCTCTCTTCTTCCCAGAAGCCTTCCTGCCACCTGTGACCTCCACTCGAGCTTGACCTCCTGCAGAAAGCCGCTCCCTGCTGCCTCCCCAGCTCTGCGGCACTGTCATCGGAGCACGTGTAGCTCTGACCATCTCACCCACTCGGCTTAGCCCTCAGTTCCACCACACACCTGTGTATATTTGTGCTTTGGTGTCAGAAATCTAGGTTTGACTTCTGGCTGTGCCACTGACTAGCTTTGTGACTTCTGGCAGTTCACGTATTTTCTCTGAGTGTGCAAAAGGGGGACACCAGTGCCTATTCCTCCCCACACACCCAGGGCTTTGAGGACTAGGCTGACAGTGGATAGGACTCGTCTTCTCAAGAAGATTATAATTCTAGAGAGCAGGGACCGGGGCTCGCCTTCTTTGTCCCCACCCCACAGTGCCCAGTGCAGCAAGCTTTGGGCACAACCCGTGCTTTGTGTGGTGGCAGCAGCGGCAGGGGGACTGCTGCTCAGGGTTGTCTCATCCTCAGCCATCTCACAGGGTACGGGTGGGGGAACTCCAAGCCAAAGGCCTTTCCATTCCTTCCCTGGCCTTTGCCCTTGAAGGACAAGGCCAGTCAAAGAGAAAAGGCTGCCTCTCTTCTGGAACCCTCTTCCACCTAGTAGGCCCTGCAAACCCTTGCCATTACTTAGCCCTGGGGAAGGAGGCTCTGTGGAGATCTCAGACCTTAGCTAAAGGGATGCTCCCTGTCCAAGGGCCGGGTAGTCCCTGCTCCCCTGACTGTCACGGCCAGCCCAGCCGTGGGCTCCTGACCCCAATGTGGGCCTGAGTTTAAAGGAAATTGGAAGGGCCCCAGGAGAGAAATGTAAAGAGGAAAGGACTTAAGTTTCTTACATATGTTTACTGGTCCGACACCTTCGCAGATCCTGGAGAGAGAAAGAAACAAGTCAATTCACAAGCAGGGTTCTTCTCTGGAAACCTACTTGCTCCCAGAAGGGCTTTCTTGGCTGCGTGGACAGTGTGGACCAGTGGTTCTCACCCCTGGCCATACAAACATCGGGGGAGATTTGAAAAACTGCATGTTCCTAGACCCTACCCCAAAAATATTGAATCAAAATATTTTAGGAAATGTGTTATTATTATTATTTTTAATAAGCTAACCAATCAAGCAAAGCTCGTTATGATTCTAGGGCAGCCTGTCTACAAACTTGCATTTAGGAGGCACAGATCTAGAGCATTCTTCTAATCCCCTGCCAAGGACAACCCGACTAATGTTTGCAGAAGAGGGACTGTTGCCTCTAGAGAAATTTGTCACCTGGGCCCCTCCCCCCACTGAGTCTTTCTAGATGCCTGAGTCTGACCTCACTCCCTCCTGCTGCACTGAGGGCACTCACCGGATCTCCTCGCCCTCCAGCAGGCGCCTGTAGGTGGCGATCTCGATGTCCAGGCCCAGCTTGGCGTTCATGAGCTCCTGGTACTCGCGCAGCTGCCGCGCCATGTCCTGCTTGGCCTGCTGCAGGGCGGCCTCCAGATCCGCCAGCTTGCATTTGGCGTCGTTGAGGGCGGCCTCGCCCTGCTGCTCGGCCTCAGCCACCGCGGCCTCCAGCCTGGCCCGCTGCAGGGGAGAGGGGGCAGTTTGCAGGTGGGCTCTGGCAGGGACTAGGGGAACCCCAGGTGGGGCTAGAAACACTGCCCCCTGTTGGTGGGAACACAGTCTGGTGCCAAGCCAGGGATGGAGCCCAGGGTAGCTGCTTCCCCAGGGATGGTAATCCTGTAGTTTGATGTCACCAGGGGGTGCAGCATTGCTTTTCTTCAGTTTCCATCCCCACTGATTTTGCACTTCCTGATTCTGCTGCTCTAAGATCCATGGGTCCAGAGAGTAAAGCTATTCTTTCTGCCTCACCTCCCCCTCTAAGTTGGCCCCAGCCTTTCTTTCTATATGGGAGACTCTCCTTCCCTTTCACATTTTGCTCCTCCAGGATGTCTTCCTGGACTAATCCCTCCATTCTTCTGATTCTGGGTCTTGGTAGTCTCCCCCACTTCTTCACACTTGGGGCTCCCCAAAGCTTGGGGCCCTGCCTCTCCTCCATCTGGGGCTTTCTCTCCTCTCCTTGCCCACCTGAGCCTTGGCGTGCTCGATCTCTGCCTTCAGCCTCTGGATCAGGCGGGTCAGCTCATTGATCTCCTCCCGTGTGTTGCGCAGGTTGTCACAGTGCTGGCCAGCTGTCACCCGCATCTCCTCATACTAGGGGAGAGAGGGGATGTTCCAAGGGTTCAAAAGTTGGGTCAAGACCACAGCCCCAACTGAGTTGGGGGCCTCAGACCTCCGCTGGGCCCACTCGGTCCTACCTAGCCCTGAGTCTTACCGAGGGCTGCCTACACCCCTTCCTCAGCCCCCTTGCCCACCTTGGTCTGGTACCAAGCCTCAGCATCAGCCCGACTTCGCTTGGCAACTTCTTCATACTGGGCCCTGACTTCGGCGATGATCCCATCAAGGTCCAGGTCCCGGCTGTTGTCCATCTTCACGATGACCGATGTCTCTGAGATGTGTGATTGCAGCAACTGGATTTCCTGTGTCGGAGGATCAGCAAGAGAGAGGGGCTCAGAGTCCCATCAGTGGCCGGGACTCTGTGCACGGTCCCCAGGATGTGGTGTCAGGACCAGAGAGCATTGCTCATTTGTTCAGAGCAAACCAATAAAGCAGACCATCCAAACCAAGGCCAAAGAAAGAGATGACCGAGAACCATATCCATTTGCCTATAAACTCTTCTTATACACTCAGAGACATCCCTTTAACACCCGAACTTGCTTAGGTGACTATTAAAGCCATGGGGGTCTGGGGCCTTGGTGGAGGGGATGAGAGCCATGCTAGGGTTTAAACTCCTCTTCGGATTACGCACAAAGTGGCTGTGCTGGTCATGGATCATTGAGAGCTGACAATACTTTAGGACATGGTGGCCTAGGAATTCCAGTGTCCCAAGTCTTTAATAGAACTGGGGGGCTTGGCACTAGCCTACAAGGTGAGGGCTCCAGAGACGCTTTCTTTAGTCTTTCTACTCAGAGCCAGACATTCAGCTCTGGCTGGGTCTGTATTAGACCAAATGGACCACTTATGAAGCAAAAGATAGTTAGTTCATTTGGCTAATTAGGTCAAACACAATTTTTCTTACATCTCCTAGCAAATCAGTTTTCCAGAGTCTTCTGATTAGTAGATAGGAAGTGACATTCCAAAACCCCTGTCTTTGGATTGGCCAAGAAGGAGCCCAATCATAGACCAAGGAGTTTTATTCATGGACCTGAGTCGGGCTGCTGAGAAGCCTGCTTACCCTACCTTCTCCACTTGTAGATACACCGACATATAGAGGATATAGATTTGAGTGGGAGGAAAGATGTGTGATACCAAATAGGCCAGTCCAGATGAAGCCCCCAGGGAGTCCAGGCCAAGCACTGGTCTCCTTGGATGGCTCAGAGAGGATGAACACTTACCGCCGCGTAGAGGGTTTTCAGGAAGTCAATTTCCTGTGTTAGGGTGTCCACGTTGGCCTCTAGTTCAGCCTTATTTAAGAAAGCTGCATCCACATCCTGCACAGAAGAGAGAAGGATGAAGTGCTCATTACCCGTGCATCACTTAACCTGCCCACGATGGCAGGGTCTGGAGGTGGGTGGGAAGATCAGGCCATTCCCCACGGGGCCAGGCCAGGCTTTGGGATGGGTAGTAAAGGCTGTGGGTGGAAATGTAGCTTAGTGACTCTTGTTCTTTTCCCCCTACAACATGAAAACTCCTCCAGGGGCGGCTGGACATTCCCCGATGCTTATTTAGAGCCAAAGAGAATCTGGATAATCCAAGACTCTTAAAATGTCATGTCTGCAGACCTCTGCTTCACAAAGACCTGATCCTAAATAATCTGAGGCCAAATCAGAACTTCGAAGGGAACCTGTTGTGATCTTAGGGGTGCCACTCTGTGTCAGTAATCCCAGACTCACAGGGCTTCCCGGGCCATTTCCTGGGGTGTCTTGAGAACATTTGCCTGCCTGGAGGAGACGTTTGCCTGGCTCTGTTGCTCTCCCTTACCTTCTTCAGAGCCACGAACTCATTCTCAGCGTTGGCCCGGAATACTACCTCCTCTTCATACCTGGATGATAAGGATGAAGAGGGTGAGTTCTTGCTCTAAGCTGGGAGCCAATTACTCCCAAATTCCCAGTGAACCTCTTCTGACCTCTGCTCCATCCAGGAGCATGGCTCCCTGTTGCCACCTACATGCTATCATCCGCTCTGTCCCATTTTTAAGATCTTCATGAGCCAGTGGCTCTCAGTTTCTCCAGACCCCTTTTACTTTCTCCAACTGGATGTGGGGTCTGTAAATCTGGACCATTGCTATGCTTCTCTGCTGGAGAAGACTAGGGTCACTGCACTTGACCATAGAGGAAGAGGGACTCAGCTTATGGTTGAACCTGGGCAGTGTTCTCAAAATCAAAGGGTTCCTTTTTCTGAGGTCCCCTCACCCATTCCCATAGGCAGGATTAGGGACAAATGATGCCCAATTCCAAGTCTCTTTTTTCCTCAGGACCCCCAGCGGCCCTCCTTCTCCTCCTTTACACATCACTGCCTCCACCCCTGTCTCCAGGCTGGGTACTGAAACCAGCATTCAACCCTGATCCTTCCAGCAGCTCTCATCTGAGCTTGGCTGCTGCTTTGGGGACCAGCCCATGCCCGTCCTTGGTCAGTGCAGCCTGATGCCACTCACTTCTTCTTGAAACCCTCAAGGACATCCTGCAGTTGGTTCCTCTCAGCCTCTAACCGGGCCCGTTCACTGTTCGCTATATCCAGCTGCCTCTGCAGGTTGGTGATGTAGTTCTCAAAGAGGGGCTCCAGGTTGCTTCTGGCACCTTTCTGCTCCTGGAGGAAGCTCCACTTGGTCTCTAGGAGCTTATTCTGCTGTTCCAGGAACCGCACCTAAATCCACAGGGGCAAAGAAATGGCAATTGAACTGCTTGATAGGATCGTCTACATCTTGACCTGTACTTGAGTTGGCTAGAGAGGACTCTCAGCCATGTGTTGACATGTTCTCTCCAGTAGAAGCTGGAAGAACAGGTCTGCAACTCCTCCTCACACCCAGCCAGGCTTAGCTACAAACAAAGTCTTTTGAACCAAAGCACTTCCATACCATTTCCCCTTCCACCTTCTGAGAAAGGTGTAAACCAGTTCACTGGGAAGTTGGAGAGATTAATTCTGCCTGAGCTGGGGTTTGCCTATATGCAAAAACTGATGTCAACTATCCCCGGCAGGAATGAGGAACAGAGTAAAGTCCATATAGTGTGGGATGTGGCATTAGGAGGTGGGAATTCTCAGCTCATAAGTCACACCCCCCGTCCCAGATATTCTATAACTTGAGACTTGTAGACCTGCAGGGGAACTTACAGATCATTTGCTCCAACCCTCATTTTAGAGACGAGGAAACTGAAGCTCAATAGAGGTTAGTTTCTATTCTCAGACACAATCAGCACTGTGTCATGGAGACATGGTTTGTGGGATGTCTGTTCCACATCACCGTTCCTCTCATCAGCCTAAGATCAGTGACTACCTGTGGCGGTTCCCAACTCTTTCCCTCAATCTAGGCAACTTGGCTGCATCTTTGGGAGGTATGAATTCTTTGCTTGTTTTGTACAAAAATCACTCAGCTCCATTCACCACTTTCCAAAGCCTGAACAGATGTGGCCATCCAACCTCAGAAACTATGAAAACCTCGAGAAAAGCATGAAGATCTCAAAGGATAAAACCTTTTAAACATATCCCAGACAACACCTGGCCGATGTCCTAATGTTTCTAGCCTGTTTGGGAGATATTTCTAAGTGACTAGGCCGCAGGTCTTAGATTGTCCAGATGCCCTCAGACTTGGCAGGATGTTCCTCTTTCTCCCAAAAGACACAGCCACTGTCTTAGTCTATCCCACCGCACAGCCTTTCCTCAGGCTTGTCCTTGCTCTGCAGCAGAGTGACCCAGAAATCATACCGTAGTGCCCTTGGTTGACACCTGAAGGATCTGGGGTCAAAGTCAATGCCCTAGGCCTGAGCCAGTTCTTCTTAAAGGAAAGAACACCCCCATGCATTTTAGCTCTCATCACCCCAGATCCAGAGATTGAGCTGTCAGAGGTACCTTGTCGATGAAGGAGGCAAATTTGTTGTTGAGGGTCTTGATTTGCTCCTTCTCATCCCTCTTCACCCTCTGGGCATTGGGGTCAATCTCCAGGTTGAGGGGGGTCAGCAGGCTCTGGTTAACAGTCACGGGTGTGATAGATGAAGCTGCTGGGACTCCAATTCCTCCAACTCTGTAGCCAAAGCCAGGGCCGCCGAAGCCATAGCCAAGGCAACTGCCGGCCCCAAACCCCAGACCAGCACCAATCCCATCACCAAAGCCAAAGGCCATCCCACTGCCAGCACCAAAGCCAACTCCACAGCGGATGGGACGAGGGCCTACAGCCGCTATCCGGGGTGAGCATGATCCAAAGGTGATGACGCTCCGACTACCAAAGCCGCCAATGCCCCGGAAGCTGGGCCCGCTCCTGCAGGAGACAGAGCTGGCCCGGAAGCGGTTCAGGTTTCGGGGGATCCCTGCTGAGCAAGAGCTGAAGTTGCCCACACGGTGACCAGAGCTGACACGGTAGGAGCGGCAAGACATGATGGCTTCCTGGATGAGAGCAAAGGAGTGATCGCAGACAGGCGAGCTGGAGCTGGAAGTCCTCTGAGGCTAGTGGATCCCTCTCACCCCTTTTATGTGTGTGGGCATCTGAGGATGGGCCCCATAAAAACAAAAAATGCTATTTGGCAGCATTTATGAGCTTGGGGAGTTAGCAGAAACTCTTCATGCCTATAACCTCGACAATGAGCTAATCTCAGACACACCTATGCTCCTCAGGATCAGGGCTGTAACATCAAAGCTATAAACATTAAAAACACATAAACTCATAAATATTATGGTCCTATTTTTTTCCCGCAAGTCCACCACAATTGCCATTATGGGGACATTAATTTGCTTTGGCCATAAAGCCAATAGATTTTTTCACTGCAAGTGTGGCTAACCACCAGAAAGTTAGGGTGGTAACAGCTCTCGCAAGAGGCTTCCAAGGGATACGTCTACAGATAGAACCCCCTAAATAGAAAAAGAGTGTGCAGGAGAGGGACTGGGCCTGCACAGCTCCGAGTAAGAAATAATATGATGAGAATACAGTGTAATGTGTCTCTGAAGATGGACTAAAGAGTCCCAAAAGCTTTTGCAGTGTTTTATCTATCCTCCATGATCTGGTTTGGCTGTTTACATTCAGTAAAGCTCATTTGGGTTAGTGTAGATACATGTTTGATTTGAGACACTCAAAGGAGATTCATTCATTCATTCACCAATTATCAAGTGCCTACTCTGTCCCAGGTAGCATGCTTGGTGCTGAATGTACAGAGATAAAAAGACAGTCTCTATCCTCATGGTGGTGGGGTAAGATTAATCTTAAGGACTTCCGCTAGTTAACACTTTTGTGGTATAATTTGAGGCCAAAGTATGCCAATAATTTGGCCATGTATCTGTGTGGAAAGTTAGCCACGTGATTTTGAGTCCCCTAAATACACATTAGGGTTGATGTATAGTCCTGTCTATGCAGGTTCCTTGAATTGTTGATGAATCTTTGGTTAAGATGAGAGACAAAAAGCAACAAGCATTGGGATAGAAAATGAAAAGTTCTAAGCAACTGGATACTGTTATCATTGTTATCAATATTGCAGGTATTTCAGGACCAGAGACAGACTGCTGTTCACCTTTTCTATTCTAGTGTGTGACACAGCTTGCCCGACCTGTCCTGTGTCTGGGGAACTTACATTTGACTGGATGCTTGGGATTCTACTTGGAAGGGGATGTGTGCTTTTGACCAGAGCTATCCAGCTCAAGTCTTCACTATTTTCTTCGTTCCCAATCCCTATAACTTTTATTTCCTTTTCTTGTCTTATTGCATTGGCCAGAACTTCCAGTAGGATGTTAAAAAGCAGTGGTGAGAAAGGACGTCTTTGCTTATTCCTGATTTATTGAGAAAGCTTCAGGTTTCTCACCATTAAGTATGATGTTAGTTGTAGGCTTTTTGGTAGATATTACTTATCAAGTTGAGGAAATTTCCCTCTGTTCCTGGTTTACTACTATTTTTCATAGACCCAGCTATCAGGTGTATGTTAAAGGGAGAAGAAGTAGAAAAATAATATTAAGAGAAGACTTCTTGTGAAGATTACCAATGACCTCCATGTGGCTACATTCAGTGGTCTGTTCTCAGCCCTCATTTAACTTATCAGCACTATTTGACATAGTTGATCATTTCCTTTTCCTTGGAACACTTTCTTCTTTTGGTTTCTAGACACGCTCTCCTGATTTTCTTGCCATATTATTGGCTGCTTCTTTTCGGTCTTCTTAGCCTCCTCATATCCCCAACCTCTCCACGCTGCAGCATCCTTGGGCTCAGCCTGTTCACATCTTTATCTACACTCATTCCCTTGGTGACATCGTACAACCTCATGACTTTAAATACTATCTAGCCACTGATGACTGCCAAGGCATATTTCTATCCTGGATATTCCTTCTGCACTCCACATGTATATTTTGATCAGCATCTCTATTTGTATATCAAATAGGCATCTCAACCTTAATAGATCCAAAACTGTTCTCCTAATTGTTCCTACTAAATATGTTCCACTTGCCACTACCCCTGCAGTAGCTCAGGCCAAAAATCTGGGAATCATCCTTTATTCCTCTGTTTGTCCATATCCCACATTCACTCCACTGGCAAATCCTACCTTCAAAAGGTATCTGCACTCCTACTACTTCTCTGCTGCTACCATGTTGGCCCAAGCCCATCACTTCTCACAGGGTCTATTGAAGTGTCTTCCCAGCCAGTTTCCCTGCTTCCTCCTCTGCCCCTTCAGTCTTTTCTTAACACCACAGTCAGAAGGATCCTCTAAAAACGTTAGATCATGTCATTTATATGCCCAAACTCTTCCAGTAGTTTCCCATCCCATTCAGAGTAAATGCCACACAGGACTCGACACAGTCTGCCCTCCCCCTTCACCTCTATCCATCCCACTGCCACCCTGTCCCAGCTGCCCTGGCCTCCTGGCTATCCATCAAACAGGCAAGAGAACTCCTGCCTCAGACGCTTTCGCTCCTGCTGTTTTCTCTGCTGGGAACTCTTTTTTCTCAAATAACTACATGGCTGGGTCTCTCATGTCTTCCAGGTCTTTGTTCATAGGTAACCCCCTATTTAAAGCCCCTCCCCCGTGTAGCCCCCCCCCCCCCACTTCCTCCTCTCCTTAGGAGGGCCTCTCCTGCCTGGGTGTGCTTGTTTACCGTCTGTCCTCCTGGCTGGGACGGAAGCTCCAGGAGGCAGGCACGGTTGCATGTTTTGTTCTTCCAGTGTTCCCAATGCTTAGTAGAGTGGGGCCACGTGGTAGGTGGGCTATGCAGTTTTATTGAATGAATGAATACACCGCAAAGATTAACAGCAGGAGGGAAAATGGGAGAAAGGAGCAGGGAGGAAAAGGAAGAGGAATTCGGGCCTTAGGTTTTACAGATCTTTCAGGAAGAGGAGAGTCCAGTCTCCAAAATGGAGAGGAATGGTCCTGAGGATGTCTGTGGTGCAGAGACTCAAGTGCTCACAGGGGACAAACCCCATTTGCCCTTCAGCTCCCTCCTCTTGGGGTGCGAGTCTGGCTGCTGGAGGAAAGGGCATCCATCTCTCCGGAGGCCAGGCAAGGGGATCCAGGAGACTAGGAAGGGGGCCGGGGGCCCCTGTGGAGGTGAAGGGGTAGGGGAGCAGGAGGGACGGCATAGGAGACACCAGCAAGTCGAGTGTGCCAGGCCAAGGACAGCCCTTGGAGTCACGTGGACTGGGTTCAATCCCAGTTTTGCCACCTGCCAGCAGTGTGACCTTGGACGGTGGTACACCTACGGCAGGGTGGTGGCAGAGTTCTGCTCTGGGTGTAGGTGATAAGGAGGCTTGTCTGAGAGAATTTAAAATCAATAATACAACCAACTAAAAGTCAGTCTGCTTTTCATTATCATCATGCAACAGCCACTCTAAACAACGTTAGTCTGCAAACACTCCCATTCACAGTACACAGTGACCTGGGGGAGTTGTTTAACTTCTGTAAGCCTCAGCTTCCTCATCTGTAAAATGGAATGATATCTACTTCGTGGTACAGCCATGCGCTGCATCACGACGTTTCGGTCAATGTGCTGAGGGACCGCATATACAACGGTGGTCCCACAGGATTAGTACCGTATAGCCTAGGTAGTAGGCTACACCATCCAGGGTTGTGTAAGTATGCTCTATGATGTTTGCACAAAAATGAAATCGCCTAGCGATGCATTTCTCAGAATGTGTCCTGTCATTAAGTGACACACGTCTGTACAGCGAGGACTAACTGCGAAAATGCTTGGGGTGTACACTGCGTGGGCCTGGTGCTTATTGTCATCCATTTCTTCCTTTGCTCTCCTTCCTCCCTCCCTCCCTCTTTCTCTCTGCCCCTTCCCCTCTCTTTTGCACAATCTTCCCTTCACATCTAAGCAGTTGGCCCTGTTCCCACCAGGCACCCCAGCTCCCTCCTGAGCCAGCAGTTGTGGCGTCCCTTACCCGTCAGCCATTCCCGGGGCTGTCCCGTGTCTCAGCTTCCTCCAACACTGACCAGGCTGGGTGGGGTGGGGGTAATGGGGACCAGTCAAGCAAAACCTCTGGGACGAGCTGCCACCATCAGCAGTTTACAGTTCTGAGGCATTATTTCGCCACATGATGCATAAGACAACCCTTCATCACTTTTTTGGGGTGGCGGGTAGGGAGGGGGGAGGAGTTGCCTTGGAAACGCTGGGTGGAGGTTTTGCTGTCCTGACAGTTTCTTTTTCCTGTTGTCAGGGGCCTGGACGTCAGCCCTAGAACTGCTGGCTGCACCCACTGCAGGAGGTTGCTGGCTCATGGGGATGCTATCTGCGGAGTGGAGAGGAGGGAAAATTGCTGACGAGGGGTTGGGGGAGAGGGGGTGGGGCGGGTGCCTGTGCTGGGTGGCTGAGCAGGGTCTGGGAACCCTGGGCACAAAGCTGTGGCTGTGAGTGTGTGTGTGTGTGTGTGTGTGTGCGCGTGCACGCGCGCACACGTGGGAGGGAAAGAGGGTGATGAGAAATCCCAGGTGCTGAGAGAAGGCTTTGCTAAAAGGTGCCTTCTTCAGAGTGTTTCCGCCTTGCTCGGGGACAAGTTTGTGCTGAGAGAGGTGCTCACGGGGAGGTGTTCATGCTGAGACCTGTCCCTGTGGGAAGGGAAGCTCAGGACTCCCCTGGCAGAAGGAGGGGGCCGGTGGGGAGACGCTGAGTCCACCCCTGCGTAGGCCCTCCATCCTCTGCCCTCTCCAGCTAGTGATGCTAGGAAGGCGTCTAAGCACCTCCCAGGAGAGATAAAGCACCGTCTTGTTTGGGCCCAGCCGCACCCCTCCAGGCAGGATGATTTTTTTCAGGTTTAATCTAAATTCCTCACATTGCCCACACAGCCGTCACCTGTCCAGGGTGAAAATGTTGCTCCTAACACATAAGGTCAGTTTGCTTCAACACACTTTTACTGGTGCTGATGTGGCCTGGTGTGGCGTTTGGGCGCTGGGACGTTGCTGGGGCGCAGCCCCCTCCTCTGTCAGACTCAGTGATGCTAAGTTCCCCCTCCTCTGCCCACAGTGCTGTTTCTGAAGCCATTTCCCCCAATCCAAGCCCCCAGGGGCGAGTGGCGGTGGTGGATGCGCCGGGGGTCACTGATGGGACTGGGATGAGGAAGGGATCTTGGCGAGACAAGGGCCTCTGGGGGCAGAGGCAGAGGGGACCTGAGGGAGAGGGCAGTGGGACAGGGAAGAACCACGTGGCGCTCGGTTCTGGTCCTCCCGCCCTCCCCCGGACTCCCTGCTGTTCCCCATCTGTCCTCGCGGGGGCGCTCTAGACGGGGCAGGATTTGGATTCCCGAGGAAATGGAAGGCAGTGAGGCTCCGGCTTCAGGCAGACGGTCTCCCTTACTCCCCAAGGGCAGGGGGCCGGGCCTGACCCTCCCGGGACCCCAGCACCAGGCGCGGGGCGTGGGGCTGGCCCCGGGAGGAGCTCAGGAGGTGTTTGGTGAGCAGAGTGTGAACCAGGCCACCACCAGGAGGCGCTTTTGTCCCGCCAGCGTCAAGTCACCTCCTCCCTGGGGAGGGAGGGAGAATGGGGGCACTGTTGCCCAGCACTGAGGGGCATCCCCAGATGGAAGCCCTGGAGGGGGCGTGCCCCGGCCCCCAAGCTCATGTCCAGGATGGAGCTGGGGCGCCCGCATTGTTGGGATGAGTCATGCCTAGTGGACGGTTCCAGACAGCTGCCCCCTCCCCAGGCCCGGACACGCCGGAAAGTGAAGTTCTGAAGGGCTGGTGGCCAGGCTGGAGCCCAGCTCCCAGTGAGGGTGGGGGAATCTTCCCTCCCCCTCCTCCTTTATCCAGTGGGCGGTTCCTGGGCTCAGGTCGTCATCTGTGGGGGGGAGGTGGGCGGTCTATGGAATCTCTCTGTTTTTGCCGACTCGGGGCCAGAGCATCCCAGTAGTTGTCAGAACTCTGAGTTATTAATCAGCAGGGAGTTTAGCTGGCTCCAGGGCCAGGGCCAGAGTGACAGGGCTTCAAGTGGGAATGAGGCTGTGAGGCCTCATTGTTCCACCCCTTCCTGCCCCGTGTGTGGACATGCAGACCTGGAATCACAGATGCCCCCCAGGCCGGCCCTGGGTGCGCTGGCTCACAGCGACTGATCCCTCAGCCTGGACCCCACCTGCTTCCTTCCCCTAAGTCCTGCTGTCCTTCAGGACGCAGCTGGCCTGCCCCTCCTCCTGGGCACCTTCCCAAGGCCTGTGACTAGGGTGGGACCCTCGGTTATGTCCCCCTTCACAACAGTCCCGGTGTCTGTAATTTCCTGTTCCAGGTCTGTATTCCCTGCAAGGCTATCAGCCCCATGAGGTGTGGACTGGAGCCAGGGCCCCATTTTTTTTAAACAGCTTTATTGAGCTATAATTCACATACTATATAATTCACTCATTTAAAATGTACAATTCAGTGGTTTTAGTACATTCCCAGATATGTGCAACCATCACCACAGTCAATTTTAGAACATTTTCATCCCCTCAAAAAGATACCTTTAGCTATCACCCCATTCCTCTCCCCCACCCTGGCTTCCCCTCCAGCCCTAAGCAACCACTGATCTGCTTTCTGTCCCATAGATTTCCCTGTTCTGGACTTTCTATGAAGGGAATCATAGAATATGGGTTTTTATGTCTGGCTTCTTTTACTTGCCATAATGTTCTCAAGGTTCATCCACGTTGTAGCGTATGGCAGTGCTCCCTTCCTTTCTATGGCAGAACCATGTTCCGTTGTGTGGATATACTGCATTTTGATTATCCAGTCGTGCATCGATGGACATTTGGGTTGTTTTGACCTTTTGGCTACTGTGAATAGTGCTGCAATGAGCATGCATGCACAAGTTTTTGTGTGGTCATGAGTTTTCATTTCTCTTGGGTGTAGACCCAGGAGTGGAATGGTTAGGTCTTATGGTAACTCTATGTTCGGTATTTTGAGGAACTGCCAGACTTCCAAAGTGGCTGCACCTTTTCACAGGCCCTACCAGGGGCTCCAGGTACTGTGTCTACTGGGTAAGTCACCCTGAAGGGGTTGTCTTGTCCGTCACTGTGTCGCCAGCCCCTGGGTGGCCTGCCCCATGGCAGGTACTTGATAAATATGTATTGAGTGAATGAAAAAGTGAATGGGTGGGTTCTTCTGAATATGCTGCCCACAAATCTGCAACCCTAGACTTCCATCAGACTCCTCCCTTACAATCTTCTCTGAGAACCTCTCTCTGACTCCCTTTCTGGGCATAATCATTAGCGGCTTTTTCTTGTTCCCATACTCTCTGGTTCTCATTATTTATGACTCCTCTGTGAGGCCGAGAGCCCTCCAGGGATAAGAGGGTGTCTTACTCACTTCTGTATCACTAGCTTCTAATGCAGGGCTTGGCACAGAATAGGTGCTCCGTGTGGGGCTGTGGGAGAACAGGAGCCGCGCCCCAGTGCTCAGGAGAGGGGAGCCCCAAGGTGGAGTCTGTGGAGGGGGGATTGTCACGGGAGATCAGTGAGGCAACAGGGAGAGGATCGGGACCCCGCAGAGCCTGGAGCTGCTGCTACCAAGTCTCATCTCCAGGTCTTGGGGCTCCCTAAGAGGGAGAGGAGACTACAGGGTTCTCGTCGCTAGCTGGGCTGTGCCCATCTTCACTGCTTTCCCCAGGCGGCACCTGTTCTACACTGAGAACGGTCCGGGATGGGGGGGCAGAGCCCAGGGCTTGGAGGCTGCTGAGTATAGACATGATGGGGGCCCACGGACTTTCTCTAGGACAGATGCAGGGGAGCATGTGGTGAGGATGCCTGTGTGCAATAGGCCCGTGGTTTTTAATACGGCAAGTGATTAGGAAACTACTAGGGTGTGATGCGCAGGTTAAGTGTGATTTGTATGGAACCAAATTTATTTATTCCACAGGCCACTTGCAAATCATTCATATATAGTTTTCCCATTTATGTAATAACCTTCATTTCCACTCTCAAGCCCCCAGCCCCCAGCGCCCAAAGGCTGCTCATCGGTGCCCCCCAGCCTTATCGCACCCCACAGAGCAGGGTGAATAATCCTGACTCCTGTAGCCTGTCAACAGTCACTTTATTGGGAACAGACAAGCCCAGAGGCTCATGGCAGAGATGGTGGACCTTGGCTGAGCGGGGCTTCTGCAGGCTGCAGCGCTAGGGGCGGGGCCTCTGGGGAGGTGGGGTCAGCCCAGCACCTCCTCCTCCCTCACAGCCCCTGAGCCAGAGCCTCCGAGTCCGCTGGGGCAGCCCTACATCACTGTAGCCAGGAAAACACGTTCACAACAGACCCAAAGCCAGAGGAACTAAAGGGAGAGGGAGCAGGATCGGGAGGCTGTGTACAGACGGGGCGGTGGGGGCTTGATCCCACTGAGCAAGTACTGTCAGCTCCTGAGTGTCCCTCTGTCCAGTAAACAGTCAATGTCCTCCGCCTCCGTTCTACCCATTTCCCCACTACCAGCTGCCAATGTGAGCTCAGGAGAAAGATGTATTTTCATAGTGTGAGTTCAACACACTTAAGCAGGTGAATCTATCACCAAACACCCCCTCTTGATGCTGTGTGTCAACTGGGAAGAACATTGACAAGTCCTGAGTGATCCTGAAACCCCAACTTTCGGCTTTGGAATTCAGAATGGGATTTTGGAATGTCTCCTCTTGATATTTCCAATAGGGCGTGTTTTAGGTGGGTGTTAAAAGAAGTTCACTTTTCTTAGGGGCGTGAGAGCCAGAGGTAAGGAAAGTGGAAACCCCAGGGGTCCAGGAAAGGCTGGCTTTGTGGGGAAACTTCCATGGGATAATCCACCAAGCAGAAATGTGATGGGCCCACTTGCCCTTCTCATCCAGAAGAGAAGTGGTTGGGGGCTATCACCTTTCTCTTGGCCACACTAGAACCTGACTGTCAGCAGTCCAGGGGACATGGGCGATGCATTCTTCTTTGTATCCTCCCACCCCCAGCCCCAGGGCCCAGCTCAGGGTCTGCACACAGCCAAGTGAAAGGTGACTCTTGAAGATATGGATGGGCCCGAGGGGCAGCTCCCAGTGAGAACCCCAGGGACACCTGGGGTCAGTACAGGAAGGTGGGCGTTTGGAATATCCTTGTCTTCAGCCCTGATGGGGGGACACCATCCAGGCTGGGGGCTGGAGCCCTATCCCTGGGCTTCCAGCCTCGGGGGCTGTGCTAACACTTGTGTCAGGAGGAGCCGCCCCCAGCCCCTAGCTTCACGCTGGAGTTCCGCCTGCCCCCACAGCCCAGGAGCCCCTGGGGCTCGCAGGGGATGTAGAATTCCCCGGCGCCCACAATGCTGCAGCCCCCACTGCTCTTAAGGACACTGGTGCCCCCTGTGCAGAACTCGGTCCTCAGCAAGGGCGTGCTGACCACACATGGCTCGTACAGGACGGCGCCTTTGGAGCTGCTCACGGCTGTGGGAACAGGAAAGATGCTCAGTGCTCTGCACTGTGTGGCTCTAAGGGCCTCGCCCTGAAATGTCTCAGCCAGGACACGACCTCCACCTGCCACCACTCACCTCTAAGGACACTCTCCATCCTAGCTACCAGCTTCCATGTCTCCCGGCCAGCCACATAAAGTGCTTAGAAGTTTCCTAATGTCTCTCCTCTTTTCTCAGAGCCTCAGCAACGCCAGGCCTGCTATCTGCTTCACCCTTTCTCAGTTTCTACTTGTCTGAGGCTGCTGCAAATCCTCTTTCTCCAGAAAAGCATCCCCTTGCCAGGATGCTTCCTTGCAGCTTCTGGGCCCTGAGCACTGGGACCATGCTGCATATCTGCTCCTAATTCTGACTCCCAAAGACTTGGACATCCTGGGGAGAGCTCCTCCATCCAACCAGGAGCTCCCGGGGGCAACTCCTCCCTGGGATGGGGGAGGCATGCTGAGGTCTGGGCAGGGGTGGTGTGGTTTGTGTTGGGTTGATCAGCCCCCAAGCCCCCAGAGCCCTTGGGGAGGGCTCATCTACTCACAGATATTCACGGGCCCAATGCCTTCGCACAGCCTGGGGATGAGAGGAGAAAGAAGACACAAGGTGACTGCATCTAAGAGAACAAGGCTGCCACATGCGCGGTACCCGCCCTTGCCCGCACCACGGACCGCGTTAGCGAGAAGGGCCTGCAGACTGCACGCTGTTTTAGATTTTCTGCGACTGCGAGATGGGCAACAGCAGCAGCAGTCAGAGGGCAGGTGAATATCCACACCTGGGCCGTGCTTGACTCACCTGTGCTCCTCGCCCTCCAGCAGGCGCCTGTAGGTGGCGATCTCGATGTCCAGGCCCAGCTTGGAGTTCAGCACCTCCTGGTACTCCCTCAGCAGCAGGGCCATGTCCTGCTTGGCCTTCTGCAGGGCCTCCTCCAGCCCGGCCAGCTTGCTGCGGGCGTCACTGAGGGCCGCCTCGCCCTGCTGCTCGGCCTCGGCCACGGCGGCCTCCAGCTTGCAGCGCTGTGGGAGAGGGCACAGAAAAACATTATTGGGGGCCCCTGGAGCCCTAGGCTGACTCTCAGAAGAACAGAGAGAACGTGGTCCTTGTAAGATAATAGAAAATATATATATTGGTCTCTGCCCCTGGTTCCTGGCACAGGGCTCCTAAAACCCGTATAATTTCCTAAGTGATAAACACACTAGGAGCATCTCTTGTACTAATACTTGGTCATTGATCCCGTCCCTGACCCAGGGCTCCTAAATCCCTTGGAATTTCCTGGATAACAGCAGTCAGTGTCTTTTGTTCTAATGAGGTGACTCTGGATGGGCTCCTGGATGGGGGCTGGTCACCAGAAAGACCAAGCCATGATTGGAAACTTGGAATTTTCAGAGAGGGGAGAGAAGGACTGGAAATGGAGTTATTAATTGATCATGCCTATGTGAGGATGCCTCCAGAAAATTCCAATAATACGGGGTTCAGAGAGCTTCCAGGTTGGTGAACAGGTGGGGGTGCTGGGAGAGTGGTGCCCTGGAGAGGGCGTGGAAGCTCTGCACCCCTTCCCACGTACCTTGCCCTGTGCATCTCTTCCATCTGGATGTTCATCTGTATCCTTTATCATACCTTTTTATAATAAACTGGTAAATAGTAAACTATTTTCCTGAGTTCTGTGAGCCACCCTAGCAAATTAATCAAACCTGAGGAGGGGCTTGTGGGAACTTCTGATTTATAGCCCATCAGTCAGAAGCACAGGTGACAGCCTGGACTTGGAATTGGCATCTGAAATGAGGGCAGTCTTGTGGGACTGAGCCCCTATCCTGTGGCATCTGACAGTATCTCCAGGTAGATAAATGTCAGAATTGAGTTAAATTGTAGGACACCCAGCTGGTGTGGCAGAATTGATCGATGTGGGAAAATCTCACCCATCTGGTGTCAGAAGAGTTGTGGGTGTGGCAGCAGTGTCAGAGTAAAGGAGAGACACAGGAGGAAGGGTGGGCTTTTCCTACAGTCATGGTTAGATGCCAGATCAAATCTGTCAGAGGTTTCATCCTAAGACTGTGACATCTGGTTCCTCCAGAGAATCGGGACAGTTCTCCTGTCTACAACACCTCAAGGAGATCTGAGAGTTTCGTTTTAGATTTGCTGAGCAATTTCTTTGGGCCTAATAGATTGTAAGTGTCTGGCTGGTCTTCACTAGCCTAGGAGAAGAGAGTGGGTCTGATTTTGTGGACTCCTCAGAGTCACCCTGAATTTCAGGATCACAGAATTACAGAGTCTTCAGGTTGGAAGGGACCATGGAGACCCTCTTTTCTATGCTCCCATCTAGTGAAGCATTCTTGCTGTGTCATCTCTGACAGTAGGTCGCCCAGCCTCTGTTGCGGCCTCCTCATTTCCCGAGGTGGCCCCTCCTGCTGTTGGTCAGCTCGTTTGCAGACAGGGCTTGCTCCCTCTTAAGCGAGGCAGCTCAAGTTTATTCCCTCTTCAACAGCGCTCCCATGGAGGGTGGCCGCCCCATGACCAGACAGTGGAGCCAGGTCTCCCTGGCCTCACCTGGGTTTTGACATTCTCAGTTTCCTGCTGCAGCCGCTGGATCAGCTTGTTCATTTCCAGGATCTCGTTCTTGCGGTTCCGGAGATTGTCACAGTGGTTCCCAGCTGTCAGCCTCAGCTCCTCATACTGCGGGACCGACAGAGAGATCAGAACCCAGGTGCCCACGCTGTGGCACCTGCTACCTCCCCCCTCATCCGGGGACTTCCCAGCTCACGTGCTCTCTGGATTCTTACACTTGTTCTGTCCCCACCCCCTTTCCATTTCTGGTCCATTTTGGAGTCCTTTTATGGGTGCCTCCTTATGCCCTTTTCACCTCCCAGACCCGAACCTTCAGGCTTGTTAAATTCTCCTCTGAGCTCCAAGCTCCCCTCCTCTCTGTTTAGCTGTCCTGTATCTCGTCCTTTTCTCTCTGCCCCAGAGCCTGAAGGTCTCCCGAGGGCTCCCTCCCTTAGATGTCCCTCTGGACCTCAGAAGGGGTGTCTGTGCTCAGCCTGGGATGCCTAACAGACCAAGGACAGACAGACTGCGTCTGTCCACCACAGTGAGTACATTTGTATATTCTCCTTCAAAACAATTGAAAACAAAATGTGATGTTACTTCCTATGTTGGTTTAACACTTTTTTATAAAAGCTTTGCACTCTGAATCCAATTTCTGAATAGCGTTATAGATTACATTTATAGATTTAAAACAATCAGCCCACTTTAGATTTCCTGCACATTATGGATGGGAGCATTTTGTAGAGAAAATGCAAAACAAGAGATAAGCACAAATCACTCTCTTTGGCTCTTTGTTATCTGGTTATTGTGGGAAAGCCTGTAGTTGCCTAATCAATGTTCACCGTCCTCTTCTTCAAACAGAACTCGGCTTTTGTTTGGGGTGGCAATGAGCCCAGATAAGAGAACATTTTTCAGCCTTCTCATCAATGAGATCTGTGGCTGCTGCTGGGTAGGGCTTCCAAGACACCTCTTTAAAGTGCAGGATAACTCAGTTGGCATGTTTCTTTTGCCTTCTATTCTTCTTCCCAAGCATGTGAGATTGGTGGTATGGCAGCCACTGTGGGACATGAGGCAACCATCAGGATTAAAGCAATCTGTTAAGGATTGCAGAATAGAAAGCTAGAAGAAGCTTGTGCCCCTGAGGTGACACAGAACCCCCAGTGTTATCTGTGGACACTCTATTTCTATACTTCAAGTTATTTGAGAAAAAAGTAAAAACTGAATATGTTTTAACTATTATTTTTTCTTTTGATCATGCTCCTCACAGCTAAATACAATCCTTGAATAATAGAGTTGTTCTGGTTCTGACTTAGGAGGATGGATTCTGAGGTTGTTTTCCCTGAGCCCACCTAACTGATGGGTAGCTCAGGACAGCAACCAGAGGAGGGGCCAGCCGTGGGGAAACTCGGCCGTCGATGGACCACAGATTGAGTCACTGGGAGCTGACTCCCGGCCAGGGTCTGATGCCTTTGCTCACCATGGGTCTCCAGAAAATGGGCAGAGCATCGCTTGGGGTGCTCCCTGGGCAGTGGGACCTATTGCTTTCAGAAAAAGTCCAAAGTACTCAGCAGAGCTTTGCAGATCTGCTGTTATCTGACCCGATGCCACTCCTCCAGCCTGGGCTCCTTCATAGTGCTTCACACTGGGCACCTCACCTTCATGCTTCTGCCTCCTGGCCCCTGCTGCCCCTTCCCCCGTGCTCTGCCTATTGAAATCTTACTTGGCCTTCGAGATCCAGATCCAATGCCAGTGTCTCTGCCTTTCCAGACACCGTGCTCCCTGAGCCTGTGCTCCGCCTCAGCCAGCGCCTCACGCTATTTTGTTTCTCTTTGGTTGGTTACATGTTTCTCTCCCCCTGGATGGTAACCTCTTTGAGGACGGGCTGGTCTGACTCAGTGTCCTCCTGGTGCCACATCCTTCCCTGCTATCCTATTTAAAACCGTAGTCCTGCACTGTCCCTGTGCTTCACCCCGATTTATTTTCTCCATAGCACGCGTCACCCAGCATACGTGGACTCACTTGTCTTGTCTGTTGTCTGTCCCTCCCCTGCCCCTGCTCTAGAATGAAAGTGATACGAGGGCTGGGATTGTTGTCTGCTCTGTTCTCTGCTGGATCTTCAGCATCTAGAATGGTGCTTGGCACATGATGGGTGCTCAATAAACAGTTGTTGAATGAATGAATGAATGAATGAGTGAATGAGTGAATGCATGGTGCCTTTCACAGACAGGGCAGGTGAGGCTGGGATGATAATGTTGTAAAATCGAATTGCCCTGGGGGCACCCACTGCTCTCCCAATAAGCGCTTAATTACCGAAGTCTGGGGCCACCTTAATCACCGTTTCTGCTCCACCATTAACAACCACTCTGTGCCATTAGCCTCCTCCCATGCCTCAAAGCCAGAGCCCTCTTTGCCAGCATTGCCAATTAGTGTTCCTTGAGTGCTGCTTAGAGGAGCACTTCCGGGGAGTCTGTGGTGAACGAAGCTCGGGCACCTGGCACCCTGATGACACTCCTGGGCTGTCTGTGGGGTCCCCTTCCACATGCTCCGCAGGGACCTAGCCTGGGACCTGGCAGAGACAACAGGGGCTGGGGTTCATGTGGTTCCCTGTTGCTGTGGCATGGCAGAGCTCTCTCATTATCTCCTCACCCACTTCCTGGGGCACAGTGGCTCTGGGGTCCCCCGGCCCCGCCCGGGCCTCACCCGGCACTGGTACCAGGCCTCTGCTTCCGCTTTGCTGCGGCTGGCGATTTCATCATACTGGGCCTTGATCTCGGCGATGATGCCGTCCACATCCAGCTCCCGGCTGTTGTCCATCTTCACAACGACCGAGGTCTCCGAGATCTGAGACTGGAGCAGGCAGATCTCCTGGGGGGGCGGGGGGGCAGGCGAGAACGGGTGAGCTCTCTGAGGATAAAGAGGGGAGGACAGGGGAGAGCCGGCTCTGACCCTCCCATAGCAGCGTTGCACCGGATTTACATAGCTGTCCCCGGCCTTCCATCACCAACCTGCTTCATGTCCCCACCCTCTAGTCACACAGAGACCCCAGAGCAAAGGTCTGGGCGGTCCGACCTCGGTGAGTCTCCCTGCCCGAGAACTGCTGTCCCACGTTGATTTCTTCACGGGCTCACTTTTAAGTCAGCTTGCCCTGAAACGTGCCCACTGGGCAGGAGCTTCCCCACCCATCACCCCACAGGACTGGCCCCCGACAGACCACCTGTGGGCGGCCTGGCTGCACGTACCTCCTCATACAGGCTTTTCAGGAAGTCGATCTCCTGGACCAGAGCCTCCACGTTGGTCTCCAGGTCAGCCTTCGTCAGGAAGGCCGTGTCCACGTCCTGTGGCCAGAGCAGTGACTGCCATAACCTGGGGCGGGGGATGTGCACGGGCCATCTGCTCCCTGCTGGGCCACCTCATGGGCAGGCTGGTGGCCGGTGGCTGGTGTGGGACCCACCTCTCCTCACTCAGGCCCACGTGGAAGTGAAGGAGTGAGAAAGCTGAGGGTGGAGGGAGTGTCCCCAGCCCGAGGACCCCATGCCTGCCCTGCATCCTGCTGGGAAGGATCTGAAGGGAGTGGGGTTTGAAGCAGCCTTGAATGCAGCTCCTCAGAGCTCGCTGTGTGGAGCTCGCGCCCCAGATACCTCGCTATCTGTCTGAGGAATCGTCACATTGTTTCACCTTTTGGGGTTTGAGTCAGAGTTTTTGTTTTGTTTTTGATTTGGCATTAGCCGTGTCTCCAGCTCCTGGGCAGGTGTAGACATGACCCTTAACCAGGTTTGGCCCACACGAGTTGGGAGGTGGAGGCCAGGTCAGTCATTGCCCTTTTGTCAGGGGTAGGGGGAGGCTGGCCTTCCTCTTTCCCAGGGTCACTGGGGCGGCACCTGGGTCTGAAGGGGAGAGACCATTTTGTGGGACGGGGTGCTGCAGGCACATTTGGACACAGTCCAGGGCCTGAGTGTCCGGAGGCCGGCTGGGGGCAGCTCAGGGGGCTTCGCCCTCCCCATGCCAGCCTCCCACACCTTACTCTCCCCGTGCCAGCCTCCCTCACTTTCCCCTCCCTGTGCCGTCCTCCCTCCCCTACCCCTTCCCGTGCAGTCCTCCCTCACCTTCTTCAAGGCAACAAACTCATTCTCAGCGCAGGGCCGCAGGGAGAGCTCCTCTTCGTATCTGGTGGAAAGGGCAGCAAACAAATGTTTCAGCGGGCTTGTGGGGCTGGAAGGGGTCTTTGGGGGCTAATCTGCCTCTCCCTGACTGAATGCCCTAAGGGGCCCCCAGGTCCAGCCAGGTCCCTGGACTCTCTAGCTCCTCCAGCCATTCAAGACACATAATCATTATCATAGCCTCTCATTAGCCATGACTCCCCGCTCCCCAGTAGCCTGTTCCTGTGATGAATCATCCTGGGGGATGTCCTTCTGAAGGCTGCCTTCATTCTGTCTCGCTGCTAAGGAAGCCCACTTCGTCTGGTCCTTTCCTCTGGGAAGGCAGTGAAAAGCTGTCTGTCTGTCGCTGGCTCAGCTATCTTTTCTGAGTTGTCCCGAGAGTTGTCTGTCATCACTGAAATCCCAGCTGAGCCTGTGCCCCTCCTCACCAGGAGAGCTCTGAGCCGGCCTCCACCTGCAGCTCACTTGCAGAGGTAGCAATTACCTGCTTTAACAGACCCACAGCGACAGCCTGACTATCTCCTCGAGGCTCCCAGGGAGCTCCTCGCCCACTCGCTGCCCCCCAAGGCAATGGAATCAGGGTCAGGGCGTTCAGTCCAGTAGAATGATTCAGTTTGATGAGCGCCACTGATCCATTAAAGGCTTCACTGTGCTTCCGGATGCCCAGCCTTCCTTTTCCAGAAGTCTGCCGCAGCGTGGGCACTGACGCTGGAGCCCACACCTGGGTTTGAATCCCGGCTCTGTCACGGGCTAGTCGTGTGACTTTGGGTAGGTGACTTGGCCTCTCTGTGTCTCAGCTTCATAATCTGCAGAATGAGGGTCACACTGGCCCTGCCTCACAGAGCTGTTGTGAGTTACATATCACATGAGTTAGCATCTGCAAAGCCGGGCCAGGCCCTGGCATGGGGAGTGATATGTAGTCATCGGCTATTATTGTTAAGATACTGTTTGATCTCCTCCTTTTCCTATTGCCCCACTTTTAAAATCCAAGTCCTCATCTTGAGCTGCAAACCACGTCTCCTGATCATCTTGTGTCCGTCTCCTGCTGAGACGGCTGGCCTCCACCCCTCCCACGGCCTTGCCGCATCTTGCCTGTCACAGTCGGCCTTGGTGGTCCCCTCTCACTTGGCACACGCTAGCCTTCCTTGTCACCTGTTCCTGTCCCTTCCCCTTTTCCAGGGTCTACCCTGGACTCCTCTTTTTTTTGTGGTAAGGAACACTGGCCCTGAGCTAACATCAGTTGCCAATCTTCCTATTTTTGGCTTGAGGAAGATTAGCCCTGAGCTAATATCCGTGCCAGTCCTCCTCTATTTTGTATATGGGATGTAGTCACAGCGTGGCTTGATGAGTGGTGCATAGGTCTGTGCCTGGGATCTGAACCTATGAACCCCAGGCCACCAAAGTGGAGCACGTGAACTTAACCACTATGCCACCTGGCTGGCCCCCTGGACTCCTCTTTTATGAGAAGCAACTGGAATGAAACATATCTTTCAAAGCCCTGAGCAAATGACACCTCCCCCAGGAAGCCTTCCTGGGCCCCTTCTGCTTGCTCACTCTCATGGAATTCCTTTCCCCTTCTGCCCTGCACCACATTGTGGCTGTTGGTGTGCAGGCATGGAGGCATCTGGAGGGAAGGAGCCAGCCCAGCCGGGCGTCTGGCACTGAGTAGGCACATGGTTGACAGGTGCAGCGTGAGTGACCCCCTCCCCCTCC